TTCACGCCACTAGCTGGAAAGTTACATCACCTTCACCATAGACTTCACTCTGTATCATCTTTGTTTGGGCTCCGTCCTGCACAGTTGACTCTGGGTATGTCTACACTACCCTCCTAATTCGAACTAGGAGGGTAATGTAGGCATACCGCACTTGCAAATGAAGCCCGGGATTTGAATTTCCCGGGCTTCATTTGCATGAAGCCGGACGGCACCATTTTTAAATGCCGGCAGTTCGAACCCCGTGCCGCGCGGCTACACGCGGCACGGAGTAGCTAGTTCGGATTAGGCTTCCTAATCCGAACTAGCTGTACTCCTCATTCCACGAGTACAGCTAGTTCGGATTAGGAAGCCTAATCCGAACTAGCTACTCCGTGCCGCGTGTAGCCGCGCGGCACGGGGTTCGAACTGCCGGCATTTAAAAATGGTGCCGTCCGGCTTCATGCAAATGAAGCCCGGGAAATTCAAATCCCGGGCTTCATTTGCAAGTGCGGTATGCCTACATTACCCTCCTAGTTCGAATTAGGAGGGTAGTGTAGACATACCCTCAGATACCTATTCAAAGGATCAAGTTTATCAGAGCAGTGCTTGATGCCACCAACATGCTGGCAATCCTTTCAGAGCATCACTTCGCATCAGTGACCCAGATGCTGCAGTTCCTTGCCAACTTGCAGTCAACACAGCCAGAACGTGCCTCAAGCTTCAGGGTCACATGGAAGCATGCACATATGTGGTCCTGTTCTCAAGATTTCACCTGAGGCCTCTCCAATCCTGGCTCATCGCCGTGTGTATTGTCCAAAGTGTGACAATCTTGACATGGTGGTCACGGTTCCTCAACATGTGACTCCCGCCCTCTAGTGATGGCTGGATCCTGAATTGGTACCAGCCAGTATTCCGTTCCATGCTCTGCACGCCATGATGTCACTGGTCACAGACACATCTACTTTGAGTTGGCAAGGCACCTCTGGGGAACCTTAGCATGCAAACCATGTGGACATGGGAGGAGCTAGCTCTTCACATTAATGTGGTTCACCTGGTATGTCTGGCTTTCTTTCCTCACATTCGTTTATTACATAAACAGGGTGGCGCTTGATCCTCCCCTCTGTGCTGGGAAGCCCTTCACTCGTGGGACTTGTGCATAGATCCTACCTCCCTGAGGCCTACACTTGGCAGCTGTGACCGACCGGCCTCCATAACATCTTGCAGTGGTGGGAGTTTCCCTCGTTAGACCTCTTCGTGACTCAGGAGAACCAGAAACGTTATTACTTCTGCTCATTCCAGAGTCTCAGCCCCGGGTCGATGGTGGATGCATTCCTGATTCTGTGGCACACTGGTCTGCTATATGCTTTATCCACATTCACGTTGGACCACAAGGTGCTTCTCAAGCTCCGCAGAAATAATCTGGAAAGCCCCGGCCTGGGCCCATCAGCATTTGTTCCCCATGGTTCTGGAATTCTTGGTGAAACCGCAGGTTCCACTTCTGCTACTGCAAGACCTCATCATGCAGAACCACAGGTGTCTGCATCACTCAGACCTGGGCTCACTCCATCTCCTGGTGAATGGCGGCTCTGTGGTTGAATCCCACAGAGTAGGAATATTAGCATATAGTCATTTAAATGATTAACCGATAAGCCTGGTTTTATGAGTTAAACCAACCCTCCCCTTCACCCCCCCCTTGCTGCCTCTTTCAAGCCAGATTCCCTGCTCGCACCGGTTCCTGTACAGCCCACTTGCCCCCTCACTCCCATGCTGCTGCCTCTCCATCAGAGGGTGAGGGGTGCAGGCGGGAGCTGATACACGCGGGAATCCAGCTTTCAAGCTAAATTCCTGTGCATATTGTCTCCTGCAAAGTCAGCTGCCCTCCCCTACCCATGCTGCTGCCTCTGTATCAAAGGC